ATATATATATATAATTTAGACCTACAGTATATAAGGACTGTCTTCTTCCAGCAGTTTGTAAACTCCTGTGCATAGAAGTTATTACCAATGACCTCCGGTAGGAAAGATATGAAGTCAAGCAGGTATGTTGAAAGGAAGCCTACATTGTTCTAGCTCCTAGTTTGTCGATAGGCTGATGTCATACTACTGATTATGATACAGTGCCAGCAGTAGAATCATGAGGTGCAGAAACCACGTTCCATAATGGGTGTCCCTTAATCTCCATCCTGGAGCGCTGCAGAATATCGCTTGCTAGCAAGGAAGCAGCAAATAAGAGACATTTTGCTGGTCTGGCCAGCAGAGGAGGTAAGTGGCCTTTTAGTGATCCTGTCCCTGGAGAGTTTTTACCTGCAGCAGAATTGCTCATGTGACACGGTCCTTACAGCACACACAAGCAGACTGAATGTGAAAATTGCAATCTGTCCTCTACAGAGATAATGTGTTTTAAGTACCGGTACCCTTCCAGGCAATGTTCAGATTTGATGATCGAAACTTCAAGAAAACATACATAATGGGTTGGAAGCATCGCACACTGCTCTCAGGTTATTTCTGGAATAATAAATACTGAGAGAAAACAAAAAGCATTCAGTGCACTTTGATGTGTATTCCAAATTGAAATAACAGTGATAAGATTCACACTCTCAGTGTCTGCAATGGTTTTCTTGCAGTGAACAGACACATGACGTTGATTGAGAAAAGCCACATACAGTACATTGTACGGAGACACAATGGGCTGCAAGATATATTCCATCTACTTCCTCCAAACGCCCTTGTATCCGGATCAGAGAAAATCCCTGGCATTCTGCATGGAAGAGATGACACAGGTGAGCTGTAAAATAATAGCAATCAATCAATGAATAAATGTATCCACACTTTGGTAATTATGCTACTGGTATTAATGTATGTACTAATCATCCTGGACTGATGAGGTAAGTCTTTATCAAATGTCTTACCACATACTAAGTTGGCAGCACTATAATCGCTTATGAATGCGACTGCCCGAATTATCTTGCCTACCAACCGCTATTCTAACTCCTCCTCTCTCAGTCTCTGCACTGACTCCCTGTTGATGCAAGGATTACATTTATACTTCTAATCCTCATTTATAAGGCCCTCAGTTAGTCTGCAGCTTATCTTGTTCCTGTTTATATTCCATTAATACTTTCACATTTGCTAATGGTCTACTGCGTTTATCCTTCTTTGTTAACACCTACCAGTTTTATAATCCCCTAAGGGGAGCAGTGCGTTCACTCCTCAAATTATCATTAAATTAAACTAATATTAGGCAAAAAGGAAACTTAAACAGTGAATATTGTACTTCGCTCCCTTACGCTGGTGGTTAGTGGCAGAAATGCTCTTTGTGTTGGAGGCTAATAAAGATGGACCCCCTAACATTGGTGGTCACTGTAGTGCCCCCTTACATTGGAGGTCAATAAAGAGCTATCCTCTTACTTTGTAGGGCAATGTAGATGATGTCCCCCTAAGATTGTGGGTCACTGTAGTGTCCCTTTACATTGGAGGTCAGTGAAGAGCTAGCTTACTTTGTAGGGCAATGTAGATGCCACCCCAAGATTGTGGGTCACTGTAGTGTCCCCTTACATTGGAGGTCCGTGAAGAGCTATCTTCTTACTTTGTAGGGCAATGTAGATGCCCCCCTAAGATTGTGGGTCACTGTAGTGTCCCCTTACATTGGAGGTCCGTGAAGAGCTATCTTCTTACTTTGTAGGGCAATGTAGATGCCCCCCTAAGATTGTGGGTCACTGTAGTGTCCCCTTACATTGGAGGTCAGTGAAGAGCTATATTCTTACTTTGTAGGGCAATGTAGATGCCACCCCAAGATTGGGGGTCACTGTAGTGTCCCCTTACATTGGAGGTCAGTGAAGAGCTATTCCCTTACTTTGTAGGGCAAGGACGATGCCTGCCCCTCATCATTGGTGGTCACTGTATTGCCCCTTACATTGTAGGGTAAGGAAGATGTCTTCCCTGGAGAAGTCCTCTCTTATATCAGTGGTCAGTGGGTACAACAACTATTACATTAGTGCTGAAGTGCCACCTTACATAGTTTGGAGAAGTGCCCCCTTACATTGTTGACCAGGGAAGAAGGGTCTTTTTACATTGGTAATAAAGTTATGTTACTTTGGTGTTTGCTGGGAAGAAGAAAAGTGTTGTACATTGGAGGTCAGTGGAGGAGTGCCCCCTTGCATTGGTAATCGGTGGAAAAGGAACACTTAGCAATGGCAATCAGTGGAAGAATGAACAACTTATATTGGTAGTTCATGTGATAAAGAATGCCCCTCATTTTGGTGGTCAGAAGAAAACCATATTACATTGGTGGTCACTGGGAAGAACATTTTTCTTGATAATTAGAAGAAAACTGTCCTCTTACATTGATGATCAGTTTGAAGAAGAAAACCTCTAACGTTGGTGGTTATTGGGAAGAATGCCCCTTACAATGGTTTTCAGTGGGAAGAATTCTTCTTACATTGGGGGGTCAGTGGAAAAAAATGCCCCTTACATTGGTGGTCAGTGGAAAGAATGTTGCTTACATTGGTGTTGAATGGAAATAATTGCACCTTAGAAATAGCTAGAAAAACACTTTAGTGTTAGTGGGTACCTATCTGAGAGACAAGAAAAGAGGGCTTACTGGTCAAGTTACGTTGGCACTGGATCTATAGATGTAGCATTGGGCAAAAGATAATTTCACTCAAACTGCTCACCATAATTATCATGATCTTGAAGGCTTGGAAATTTCCAGCAGCACACCTTTGTGAAAAAGAATAGTTTCCAATATTAACATGAATATAGAAGCATCACAAGCCAACGCCTTAAGAAAAGGAATCCAGAAAAGTCATCTAATGAAACACTGCACCACTTCACTGCAGCAGCTGTGTATATTATTGATATAATAATAATAATTATTATACAGGATTTATATAGCGCCAACAGTTTGTGCAGCACTTTACAATATAAAAAATACATTACAATCACAATACAATTCAAGATAAGATGGTAAGGAGGGCCCTGCCCTTGAGGGCTTACAATCTAAAAGGGAGGGGCAAGTGATACATGCGGAGGTAGCTGTGTGGGGATGAATTGTTTGATAAAGTGATAGTACGGTGGTTAGGTTGAGGCGGGATAGGCTTCCCTGAAGAGATGAGTCTTAAGGGAGGCCTTAAGGCAGTGAGAGTGCGAGATAGTCGGACAGGTTGGGGTAAAGAGTTCCATTAGGATGGGAGAGACTCTAGTGAAGTCCTGGAGGCGAGGAGGAGTTGACAAGGGAGATGGAAAGCAGAAGGTCTTTTGAAGAGCGGAGGGGTCTTTATCACATTCAAAAGTCTATATGGTGTGTGGACACAACATCCTTACTAATGATCACAATCCCTCACAAGCCCTAGTTACTTCTAGAGCATTGCTAATTCTAGATCCATTACGCCATTCAAATGATAAGAAAACATTGGCCAAGTTCTTAGTTTTTTTTAACACAGCAGAAGTACGTACCATTGATTTGACAGCATGCAAGTTTGCACAAGCTAGTCGGGTTTTCATTACAGTGCGGGCCTGAGGTGGCCTTGTTTAACACTAGATGCCTTACAGCATAAAGAAGGAGAGATGGCACTGACCTAAGGGCTGTTTTCAAAGAAGCTGAGCAATGTTCTGTATTTCCACTTGAATGTGTCTGCTAATTTACTGACACTTCAAGCCCCTCCAAAAAGTAGCGGCGCATGTAAGCACTTGAATGCAGCAATGGAAAAACACAAGCCATTTATGCTATTTCTATTGTTAAACAAGTGGAGAGGGAATATAAATGAATAATCGGGACCCAAGCACAGCTGCTCAGACCCTTCATATATCAACACTAGCGTCTCCACCGAGATATACAAACAACCCCAACACCGTACAGTATTTTCCGCGTCCAATCCTCCACAGACAGATTTACAATACAAGTTCATTAATTTCTTTACGTAGACAGGTTTATTAGAATTTTTATGAGCCAGCTGAACAGCAAATACTAGATTAACATGCTTGCTGCTGTGGACTCGAAGTTTATAAGTGTTAGCAATTCTTATTACGCTGCGATCACTTGTTCCTATAGTACTGTTAGGCCTAAAGCTGAACTCCGGGCTAAACAAATATTGACTAAATAAAAGGGCGTGTGTATGTTTACTTGAATCATGACGTTCTTTGTCTATTTCTTCTAGATCAGTGCAGTATTCTGTTTTGAAACAAATCCTGCACTTTGCCTGTAATGCAGACCAGCCACTGCTGCTATCTTTCTTTGTGTAGGGTAACTGGTCTTGTATCTGCCCACTTGCAGTTTTTTTTCAGGCAGACTGTAGTGAGTGGATCTTCTGAGTCCCGCCTACAGCTCTGCTCTTTGAACAGGCTATGAGCAGACCAGTCAGGGCTGTCCCTATAATTTTGCCTCAGGGGGCATCTCTTTAGGTCACATGAGGGGGTGGCAGGCAGACAACATGGCCACTCTGCTGCACAATGTTTGCAGTGTGCCTGCTGCCACCTTTCCGCCCAGAGCAGCCCAGGTTGCTAGGAGCCCGGTCGCTCGGGTCCGCGTCCCGCCCAGCTCCTGGCAACCAGTGATATTACTGGCTGCCAGGAGCTTGGTGGGACGCCGGCCAGAGCTGAAGCCAGAGCTAGGCAGGGAGATGATGCATATGACCCCCTGCTGCACTTCCTCCACCTGGCACCACCAGCAACCTTCTCCTCAGCCGCCTGTGATCCCAAACAGGGATCATGAAACAACAGCAGGGGGAGAGAACCTGGGGAACCTAGACCATGATGTCCCACTCGCTCGGATGTTTGTGCTGCGGAGTTAATATTTGTCTCATCTTTCAGGATTGGTTATCCAGGGGTCCCACATTTTCCGGAACTTTCACAGAATCAGGATCGATTGCAGATGTGTTTGTTTGCCAAGTACTAAGACATTGTTAGCCTATCTTTTTTTTTTTTATCCTTCCGTAGGAGATGCCTTGAAGAAACCGCACCTCCAGAAAACGATCACTTGTCACTTAGACAGACTCTATCTGATGATGTATCCATCACTAGAGAAGTTTGAAGAAGAATTGCTTATCCTGGTTAATAGTGATTGCTTGCCTAAGGTAAGTGGAGAGGCTCTTTATGGCATTGTGGGAAGCTTCTATGTTAGGCATAATTGATTCTCCTCCCATACTTCATCATACCACTAACTAGTTGGTACTACGGTACCCTTCCTTTTAATTTAAATTCTGATTGACTGTCAACACCTGGCACTCATACCCTCAAGGTCCAAATATCCGCTGCTATATAGATTTATTTAAATGCATAACACCTTCACTGGGGGCTATTCCCTCTGTGGTGGTCCTAGGGAGTAAGCAGTGGAAATAAGGGTTCTCCGATGGTGAGGACCTGGTCCTCATGTGGCTCCCTCTATATCCCCTGCAGGACCTCCTTGTCCTGGGCCATTGTCTGACATAGGTTGTATATTCGTCAGGGACCTCTGTTTTGAACATATTGGGAAATC